AGCTCCACGCTTTACTCTGCAATTCCATTTTTACCTCGCTAAGCTGCTTAATGAAAAGTACTAGAAATGTGACGTGTTACATTAGGTTGCCTTAGGTATTGAAAAGGCTTCCTTAGCTATTGAAATAACTTCAGGTTATGCCCCAAGGTTTTGAGTATCTGCTCTTTGTAGACGTAATTGCTTAAAGAATATTTACAATTGAACGTTGTACAGCTACCAGAAGCTTGATTTAATTCTTTGCTAGAAAAACATACATGAAAATTACTTCTGGGTTCTTTTGCCAATGTAGTGATGCTTTCTGTGTTTCTTTATTGCTAATGCACAATATTAAATCATAGTTATTTTAAGAGATGCTTTTAGTTTAGCAGCCCACTGCATGTGGAACTTGTTTTAGCTGTTGCTGAAGCTACTGCTAATTAATGATATTTTATTTTATACTATATAATACATTTGTTACTCACAGAATGTAGAGTGCTGATTTAACACTAGAGGAGACCGTTTACATGATTTGCTAACAAATTAACATGCAGCCCAGCAACTCGTTAAGCTGCAGCTAACTTCCCACTTGGTAATTCATGAAACAAACTAATGATCTCATTCCCTGCCCCAAAGAAAATAGGTGCAATAGAGAAATCTGATGATAAGGGTTCATTTTTGTTGTGAAAATTTAGCATTTGGTGAAGTATTAATATTTATTAATCTATGTTAAATACACTATAGCTGTAGTTATTAAAACTAAGTATAATTTGTGGTGCACTGTTCTGGCTTTTTATTGTTAGCTAGCTTGTTAATTTGTGTAAATTACTAATCCAGGTCTGCCAGGCATTCTAATTAGGAAAGCTCTCCTGGCTTTTGAATACAACCAAATAATATGCATTTGTTGCAGGCCAGCATGTTTTTAACTGTATTTCTTTCCAACTGAACCTACAACATACGTGTCGTGCTGATTCAAACCTGGTTGAAATGCAAAACTTCTTTTTTTGTTGTCTTTATGGTTTTCCGTGTTTTTTCCCCCTTCAGGAGGCAGCTTGTTGTGCTGCGAGTCGTGTCCTGCGGCGTTTCACCCAGACTGCCTCAACATTGAAATGCCAGATGGGAGCTGGTACTGCAATGACTGCAGGGCAGGGAAGAAACTCCATTTCCAGGATATTATTTGGGTGAAGCTGGGAAATTACAGGTCTGATGAACAGTTTTATGTTGTTTAGTGTATAATAACATTGATGTGCTTTAATTAATGGTCACACCACCGACTGCTTGTGTAGGTCAGCCTGGCTGCACACACCTTTCACATTTCTCCTCCAAGCAAGGGACCCATCTCCCTTGCAGCTTTCCCTCTTTCCAGTTCACCTGAGAAAAACCTTCATCACTGCTCTCTGCCAGGGTGCTCCCCATACTGGCCTCCTTGTAGCCTTCTGACTTAGGCTGCTAGCGCGTGAGCCTTCAACCCTTTTCATTTCAGAGATCTTTTCCAGTAATTAAGCTCGTACACCTTGTAATTGGGTAAATTACTACCTACATGTCTGAGAGAGAAGTCACTGGTTGTGGGTGGTTTAGACCTCATTAAGATGTGAGCACGATAGAGGCGGGTGGGGTTTATAGCTGTTACAGTCTTTTGATCTTTGACAAGTGCACTAATTGCAGGCCTTGTTAAAGGTGTTGATTAGGTTAAGCAGATGCAAGGAGCTCCTGTGTGTGGGCTGCAAAACTCCTACAGGTCTGGGTGCAGGGCTTGCCAGCCCAGTCTGTTCTCTGTGGCTATTGAGTGGGGGAAGGAAAGGATTTTTAAATCTTTATTTTTATTTTTCTTTGGAGTATCTAAGTCTTGTTTTGATCCAAGCAATGTGTTTTTTTTTCACCTTACAGTAGAAGTAATAATCAATTGCTGCGGTTTAAGGTGATTTTATTAAGGCATTGCTTGCAGAAGGAGCTTGACTAAACTGCTGTGTTTTATTTGTACTTCTGTGCTAGATGGTGGCCTGCAGAAGTGTGCCATCCGAAAAACGTCCCCCCAAATATCCAGAAAATGAAGCACGAAATTGGAGAATTTCCTGTGTTTTTCTTTGGTTCTAAGGATTACTATTGGACACACCAAGCACGTGTGTTCCCGTATATGGAGGGAGACCGAGGAAGTAGATACCAAGGAATTAAAGGAATTGGAAAAGTCTTCAAAAACGGTACATAAAGTAAACAAAAATAATTTTATGATATGCACTCTTTGGTTTCTTCACGCATAGCTTTGGGCCTCTTTATACAGGTTCATTTTATTTAATAAAAAGTTGATCTTAATGTGCAGGATAGCGCTTACTAAACATAAACTCGGACTGAAAGTGATCTTTTGATGACTTGTAGAAGGCTCGCATCCATCTGAAGTTCTTTCTGCTCATTTTTGGCATTCTAGAAGGCCAAAAAATGAGAGTAACTGGAAGACAGAAAGAGCAGAGTTGATGCAATTGTGAAAGAGCATTAATGCTCCAGCAGCATTGTTTGCAATAGATAAATACGTAAATAAAATGTTCTACCCAGGAAATAGAAGATACTTCATTTGCAGTTCTGCCTCCTGGGGAATAATCCTCTTTCTAGCATTTCTGTTGATATCTTTTTTTAGCTTTGCAAGAAGCTGAAGCTCGGTTTCGAGAAATAAAGCTTCAGCGGGAAGCCAAAGAGACGCAAGAAAGTGAGCGGAAACCTCCCCCCTACAAGCACATTAAGGTAAGGTTTGAGAAGAGTGTGTTGGATCCTCCAAAGGTCTAAGCTAGCACTGAGGAGGTGAGCTAGTAAAGATGTGTGTCTTGGTAAATCTGCTAGGGCCACAAGACAATGAAATTTCAGTTCCATTTGAGCATCTAGTGTTGCAAAATCAGTTTAGTAACTACAGTGTAATAACATTTTTATTTATTAAATTCAGATTTTTAAAGTGATCTTTGAACTATTTTGATTTATCATCCAGGTGAACAAACCTTGTGGAAAGGTTCAGATATACACTGCAGACATTTCTGAGATTCCCAAGTGCAACTGCAAACCCACGGACGAAAACCCCTGTGGCTTCGATTCCGAGTGCCTCAATCGGATGCTGTTGTATGAGTGTCACCCGCAAGTCTGTCCAGCAGGAGAGCGGTGTCAAAACCAGTGCTTTACCAAGCGTCAGTACCCCGAGACCAAGATCATCAAAACCGATGGGAAAGGGTGGGGTCTGGTTGCTAAGAGGGACATTAAAAAGGTAGGAATCCTTCTTGCTTGGCGAGGAATGCAAAGCTTGTGCTGCCCTTTGTGGGCTCCGTGCATACTTTGCTAGTGACGCTTGTGTCCTTCAGGGAGAGTTTGTGAATGAGTATGTTGGTGAGCTGATCGATGAAGAGGAATGTATGGCAAGGATCAAATACGCACATGAGAATGACATTACTCACTTCTATATGCTCACTATTGATAAGGTAAAGCATTTTGAATTGTATTTTGTCATTTAATTGTAACATAATCTTTTTTACTGCCTTTTGATTGCTGTGGTAGGGCCCTCAATTATGTGTGTTGTGCCATAGTTTCATATATTCCCAGTGTTGTATCTTTTCCGTCTGCTTGATCCATTCTATATAGGCATAAATGTATAGGTATGTACAGATGTTGCATTAGTTCTCTTTCATGTAAGGAAGCATGCGTTGAGGTCTATAAAATTTGCTTTGCTTCTTGAAATACAGCCCAGCAGAAGTATTTATCTGCCTAGCCTTAAGAGAAAGTTTGAATTTTTGTGAAATAGTAAGGATGCAGTTTCTGAAACAATTATTGCAATTACTGTTAGCAATCCTTTTACAAAAAAAATAAATTTAAATTTCATTTGAGAGTAGACAGAAAAAGTGTTGTGAGACTGTATCCAATTTGGGGCATTAAAGGTGCTCAGCTACCTGTCCCTTCGTTTTTAGCAAAACTAGGGTTCAGCTTTTGTAGAAGCCCTTTCACATCCACGTTAGGAGCCAGCTGGACCCCACAAATCACTTCTGGCCAATGCAGCAAGTTAGTCTGGGTCTTGTGGTTCTTGATGCAGCTCACCCTCCCAAGAGATACAGAGGAGCAAAAAATATCCCCAAGCAAATTGGAGCTGTCAGTTCTGCCTATTTCTTGCAATCTGAACCACCTTCCCCGAGCTGAATCTCCGCGCTGCTGCCGTCCCTTGTAGCCAGGAGCTGCGTTTATCGCCCACCGCCTCGGCTGCTGAACGGCCCCGCAGCGTTGGCCGTTAGATAGGCCAACAGAACTGGAATTTGTCTCCTGCTGCAGTTAATCAGTGACTGCTGTGATTTTTGAAAAACGCCCGTGCTGCTACTTGAGCTGTGCAGGCAGTTACTGTGTGTGTAAGTGGCCTCCTGGGGCAACTTACTGGGCATCTGCCCAGGCAGTCACTGAGCCAATGCGTGTGTCGCGGCGTGACAGCCGTGCACATGTACTGTAAGCTTAGACCAGGAGGAGCCTTTAAAATACCTTTTTTTCCATATAAGATACTTCTGAAACAGCCCTAGGTTGCAAAAATCAAAATAATTTGCAACTGTACAATTTATCATTCGTCATCTACTGTTCAACCTTTCAAATGAGCTGTAAAGCAAGAGCTCAAAAGCTCAAAGAAGGACGTTGTATTTTTCACAAATAAGCAAAATTTTCCTAACCAGCCCTGCAAAGAATCATAGTTTCAAATTTTCCGACTATTTCAGGATTTTTTGGGGTTTGGTCTGGTATGTTTGAAATAAAAATTAAAGCGCAATTGTGTGCAGGGATGGGATTTTTTTTTTATTTTTTAGCTGACTAAGAGCTTGTTTTTCTTTAAACTAGGCTGGTTTAGGGAAGGAAAGCTGTTGAGAAACTGCAACTAATTACACAGTGACTTGGGAAATGCCATAGGGCACAGTATTTGTAAATGCATAGCACCCTTTTTGAGCACAGCGTAAAAGCTAAATGGACTGAGCTCAAGTTTTGAGGCCTTCTGGAGGGAAGGGGCCTCTCCAGCATCTCCCACCCCGGTGCTCACAAGGACATTCATCCTGCCACGTGGCTGAGATGGTCCTGGGAAAACGTGAGCGAGATGAGAAGTATTGACTTGGGAGTGTCCCCCTGGAGCCCCGCGGGACGCTACGGTTTTCAATACAACATGTGCCGTGCAGCTTGCTCCTGTGCCCCTGGGAGCGTCACCACGTCTGCTTTGAATGCAGCTACTCAAATAATTTATGAAAAACTGTTTTTGTGAGGGCAAGAAATATTCATTCTGTTGCTGGTTTCATCTCCAGGACCGGATTATTGATGCTGGCCCCAAAGGAAACTATTCCCGTTTTATGAATCACAGCTGCCAACCAAACTGCGAGACTCTCAAGTGGACGGTGCACGGAGACACTCGGGTCGGCCTGTTTGCTGTGTGTGATATTCCTGCAGGTGTGTAAGCTTATCCACTAAATGAAACAACCATTTGTGTGGTTAATGAGTCAAAGAGTCATGATTCAGCTGATTCAGTGAATGATTTCTGCACAGTTCTGCACACAGAGGATGCTTTGCAATCTTCCTTTTCCTGTAGTGTTTGCTGGTAGTGAGTTTCCTAATAATGAGACCTGAGGCAGCTCTCTATTGCCTGCTTATAAGGGAATCTCAAGAGCCTTAGTTGTATCTGTGTATTCCTGTTGTGTTGTCTGGCAAAAGAATAAAATAGAGATTTTTCTTTAAAGGTTTCAAACAATTTTTCTGCAACTTTTTTTTTTTTTCCTTCAAGCGAAGATAACTTGAGTGGGTGAAGGACCGTATTTCAAAATACATGTATTCTGATTTGTGTTTTTTTGTGTGTGCGTGTAGACCAGCAACATGCAGAGTTTTATGAAGCCAGATCAGTTTATGTGCGTATGCATAAGACATTTTATTAGTCATTGCCTGTGCTTGTGAGCTGTGAAAAGGGGAACCCTACGAGTAGCAAATACTGACTGAGCCAGAAGACAGATGGTGAAACCTTTATTTGGGTGTAATAATCTTGGAAGGCTTCCTTACCTTGTCCTTCAGCTTCAGTAAAAGAGCATGTTTTATCTCTCACTTAGGGACAGAGCTCACTTTTAATTACAACCTTGACTGTCTGGGCAATGAAAAAACAGTCTGCAAATGTGGTGCCCCAAACTGCAGTGGATTTCTTGGGGACAGACCAAAGGTAAGTAGCGTATCAAGAGACTATGACTGAGTCTTGTCAGACCACTAGCTTTGTGTTTCTTTTGGGCTATGCGGGGGCAGATCAGTTTTATGTTGATAGGGGCAGCTACAGCAAATGCAGCCACCTTCTCCTTTGATGTCAGAGCTGCTTTTCTCCATCCTCTCCTGTGGCAAATTAATGACCATAGGTCCCAAATTAGAAATATTGCTAGCTCTAGGCACTAGCTTTTGGAATCGAGCATAAAGAAGAGACTGCAAAGGGAATAACCCTTTATTCGATCCCAGGCCCCTCTGAAGTGGGATTGAGGGGAAGGGCTCTGGCAGGCACAGAACTGAATGTTTATTGAGTGAATCCTACCCCGCAGAGCCAAACTGTAACCAGTGAGGCTCCTCTGCCATTGCCATTGTGTGTCCCCCATCCGGGTGTTAAAATGCTCACTGGATTTGTTAAAGATCTTTCAGCTGGAATTGAACTGGAGGACAACAAAAAAAAAGTTTTGAAATCTATATGTAAAGAAGAAAGATGTCAAATGCTATCGAGAAATGGCCTCTATAATTCCTGTCAGCTTAATTTAAAAGCTGTAATCCAACAGGAGTTGATGGCTCTTCCTGAAGAGCCGGCATAGGCAGCAAGGGAGACTACAGGCACATTCCCAAGAGAGAAGGGTCTCACTAGTGGCTATAGAAAGGCTGCATCCCAAGATGTCCTTCACAGTGCTCAGTATCAGATGCTGCAGAAGGTGGATTTACAATCTCCAGGGTAGCTGTTTTTCCTAACAGATAGGAGGCTTAAGTGGGATTTCACACAAGCTTGTGATCAATTTAGGCAGAAAGCTATGAAAAAAGCAAAATGTTACAGCTCAGTTTTGCAGGACTGTTTGTACTGGTAGAAGGAATGGGCTAATTTTAAAGAAAGTGGGTAGTAATTACTGGGGTGAGAAGGTGGGAGAAGATGGTTGAGGTGCTGAAAAAGCTCCCAGAATTAATTTTGTGTGACTCAGAGAAGGAAAGTTAAAGTGCAAGCAGCACAATATTAGGTGAAAATAGGGATATGGTTTGATTTGCTCTTTCTGGCTTTATGGGCACAGAGTTTCTGGAATGCAATACACAAATGCGAGAGAAAAGAGAGATACAGAAGTGCTTGTTGGTGCAAGAATAACTGGGGGTAAATTAACCACGAGTGAGTTGGATTGGAGACCTTTCTTTAGCCATAAGAAACAGGAAGAATTTTCCAATGGGGAGGAATTGTAAGGACAGAGCAGTACATTCAAGAGGATTTTTTTAAAGGGTCATTGTGTTTCCCATCCATATGGACAGATAGGCACGATAAGGCCTTGGGCAGGTCTCTACCAAACGAATTTTTTGCCTGTGCGTGCTGTCTGCCAGCCAGGCCAGCAGTTTTGCTATTTGTGTAGTATCTTTCTGCTGCAAAAACGGGCATTTACAGATATGCAACTTCCTCTCTTAGAATTCTTCCACTAATGCCTCAGAAGAAAAAGGCAAAAAGACCAAAAAGAGAACAAGGAGACGCAGAATGAAAAACGAGGGCAAGAAGGAATCTGAAGACGATTGTTTCCGTTGTGGCGATGGGGGCCAGCTGGTGCTGTGCGACAGGAAATCTTGTACTAAAGCCTATCATCTCTCCTGCCTTGGCTTGGTGAAACGTCCCTTTGGTGAGTAGGCTTGTTAAATAGAGAACTTGCAGGTACCTCATTCATTGCACTGGAAACTTCTTGAGAGTTTCTTTTCGAAAAGATTATTTTCCTGATGGTGAGAACTTCATTTCTGCCTAGTGTAGGAGCTGTCTTCGAGTGAGGAGACAGAATCAGGGCCTTTGTCCTGCCTCTCTGGTGAGAGGAGCCTTTGCTTTTAGGAAGGCACGTGGGTACATGCACGTCACCCAGTGGAGCACTGTAGCTCTGCAGTCCCGGGAAGTTGGTTGTATTTGCCAAGAAATGTGTGACACCAGTTGAGGTCAAGGTCCTTTTCTGGAAGAACAGCAGCAACATCTGCCATAAGGTCAGGAGGGCAGAAGAGAACCAGGCTGCAGTCGCTGATGCTGCAGGAGCTACCTGGTTTCAGAGACAAGTGAAATACTGACCAGGAAAAGACGTTGGGACAGAAAGGAGCATCAGTAGGTAGAGCACCTGAACTCCCTGGGAGCAAAACTGCAAACAGGCGAGCGGTGCAGGGGCAGGCAGCAGATCTCTGCCCTGCTGGGGATTCTCCTGGCCCCAGCTTGTACAAAATGCTCTGCACTCAGATCCCAGGAATTTCTACTGGCTTCATGTTGCTGCTGCGTGTAAATGAAGCAACTCCGAGTCAGCTACTCACTGCTGTCAGTTGTGCTCTGCAAGTAGGCTGCAGAGTCTGAACTTTTGAGATGAGCCACGGGAGTTGCTGTCTCATCTTCCTTTGATCAGGAGAGCCAGTATTTATTGTTCAGGTGCTAAAACACAGATCTTGTTTAAATGTTTGTGACTTCTCTTTTTCTCCTGGTAATTCTTTTATTATTATTGCTCACAGGAAAGTGGGAGTGTCCGTGGCACCACTGTGATGTTTGTGGCAAACCTTCCGTTTCCTTCTGCCACTTCTGCCCAAATTCTTTCTGCAAGGAACACCAAGATGGGACAGTACTAAATTCCATGTTAAATGGACAGTTATGCTGCTCTGAACACGTTCTTGGGGTAGAGTCTGTTGAGACTCAGAAGCCTGAGAAACCCCGCAAAAAACTGAACAAGTTGAAGCCTAAGAGAAAGCAGAGGAACAGATGGATGAGAGCTGAATGCAAATAGTAAAGGACTGCAGTTTCTACTGCCAACACTATCCTGTAGATAAGTTGTGAATATGACCAGGGAAGGACACAATTTTACATATATTCTGTAAAGGTTACGGGGGGGGGGGGGGGGTTTTTTTTTTTTTTTTTTTTATTCATACGCCTCAAAGTGGAATAAGAAAGAATAATATGATAAATGAAGATTGAGAGGTATGACTTTGTCATCCATTCCTTTTTGGCTTGTTCATGATGTCAAAATTTGGGATTTTTGTTTTGTTTTTTTGTTTTATAAATCCACTGAGCCAACCACAGCAGTCTCCTGCTGCTTCTGCACTGATAACGAACTGTGGCAAGCATAGTTCACGAGATTTCAGGACAAACCAAACTTATTTCTCAGCATTACAGTTACACTTGAATCGTTACGAATGTAAAAGGTTCCCTCCAGTGTTCTTCCAGATTGGAGGTAGGTTAAAAGCAAACCAGGTAGGCATAAAACATAGGTTTTGAGATAGTATGTGTCAACCAACGAGATGTTTAAAATAGTATATCCTTGAAAGAAGTTATTAGCGCTCGAGTTTTTAAGTAAAAAAAAAAAAAAGAAAAAGAAAAAAAAAGGCTTGGTCTGTGGTCCCAATGAGATGTGGGGGATTCGAGCAGGCGCCCGCGCACGGAGTTTGCTCGTGCTGCTACAGAGCAGCTCTCCAGCGCTCCCCAAACAAAGGTTTTTGTGACTGCCACCAAGAAGGAGAGCGCGTGGTGGGAAAGGCAGGCCCTGTGCCGGAGAGGGGGACTCTCACCTTGTAAGAGATTTTTTTTCTATACTGTTTTTTCCTGTATCTCATTCCAGCGAAACGGAAGTAACTTGATCTTGCAGAGCTGTACAAGTCTGGACTAAAGGGACACTGTCTTGCGATCTAGGCCCAATACTCTAGCATTTTTGTGTCTTAATAAAAAAATAAATCGTACAAAACCTGTTATTTGAAAAGATATTTGATTTTTTTTCTTAATGTCAAGTAAAACTCAGAGGCCAACGTTGTCTTGGAGTGCTTGAGACCCGAGCATTACAACATTGTGATAATGTAAAGAATGAACAGAAATACCCACAAATGAAACGGAAGGTGAAACTTAACTAGCTGCTGAAGTGCAAAAAAGAGTTCAAAACAACTAATTAAAAGTGAAAGTTTTTTTTTTTTT